TACATGAAGAATTGCAGTGAAGAACACAGTTATAAAAATTATTATGTTTAGATTCCGTTGCGGTAATTGAAGATGCTGAATTTGAATTGAAATTAAAAAAAACCTATAGTAGGTACAAAAACACACACACATTATTATTATTAGAACTTGTAGCAGTTTCGTTGTCTCTCATTTTTTTACCAGATTTGCATGATGTTCATCAACGAGTTGAAGGTAAGTTGACTTCGGGTTTGCGTGTCCAGTTATTTTGACCATTGTGTTCTCCTCAACTCCCTTCTTTGCTGTGTCACTATATACTGTACAAGTAAATTTTTAAAAAAATTTAAAAAAAAAACTATTATTATTTATTTTATTTTTTAATTTTCTTTTTTTTTATTTTTTTTTTCTTTTTTTTTTTAATAATTTTTTTTTGTACTATATACTATATGTTTTATATACTGTACAGCTGTTGCACGTAGCGAATAATTTGTAATTTTTACTTTCTCCGTAGCCAAACCTGATTTTTTTGCTTCGATAGACACCCATTGAGCAATCGCATTTTTCCCAACAGGAAGGTTCCTGAACCATTTACCCATTTTCCAGGAAGGATTGACAGTTAAAAAAATCCATCTTGGAATATTAATTAATTTTCTTTTTTCCATAAATTTTTTGAATAGCCTTACTGGACATATGTTTGATTGAAGTCTATTTATGACCAGCCATTTTGACAGAGTACAAGGTTTTATCGAATATATGAGTGGTTTTATCGAATGTCGGGTTGTATTCAATGCGACCAGTGGGTTGTCCTATATTATCAATATCATTTTTAAAATAGAAAACAAAACATTTTCCTCCCTCCCCGCCACACAGTGTAACGAAATCGGGAAATGCAGGACATTAGCCCAAAAAACAAAAAAATTAATTCATCAAGTTTTTTATATAGATGGATAAAGGACAACCCAGAGCCCCACCATGTGAGATATTTCTTGAGTTGACCTCTTAGTCAGGGAGTTATGGCGGGTTAAAGTTATGGTTTCCTTAATTTACCAAATCTGTACAAAAATTTCATACAATGAAATTTATTATTTTCAGAAGTTTCCTTGTGTTGTTCAATTACAACCAAATCCAAAATGTAGTTTCTATCTTTTATAAAGTCCATAAACTGTTTCCATACATACTGTTGATTAATTATAGTGTTTTTCGGCTTACTTTCGGCAACTTTTTCTTCAATTGCACTTAAGTAAACGTTTCCAAATCAAGACATTTTTAGAATACCTATTAAAAAGAATTTACGTTTCGCCAAAAATTACCCGCTTCATATGGGATTTTTTGTACATGAGTGAAATAGTCGATATCATTTTCAAGTGATACATATTTTTTGAAAAGTTATATTTGAAAAATTAATTTCTGTTTTCATTTATATTACTTTTAAGTTCGTCAAACTGTATAATATTTGAAATGTTTTAATAGATTTCTTTAATATTTTAAATTTTTAAAATTTCTACAGTAGAGTTTTTATAAGTAATTTATAAAAGCCTTGCTCTTCAACTAAATGAATATTCTAAAATATAACTCACAACTAAAAAAGTCAAGAATACAGCGACATTTCAGCGACACAACCGAGCAAAAAGCATCTGAATATTCAAATTAGACGAAAAAGTTAAGAAAAATTATACGAAATTAACAAAACAGAAGCCCGAGTGAAAATTATTTAAAAAGTTTTAATATTCTTTCTACCCTTTTAGTAGAAAATATACGGGAAAGAATTTATATTTTTAATGCCATTATTAGGACTTCCTTTTCACTGGAGCCGGAGAATAATTATTAGGAAAGATATTCGAACAAAGAAGTCCCGTTTTTCGGCGGACAACAAAAAGAAAAACCGTTTAAAATTGACAAAAGGCAAGCTAGTTGCAGCTCTATGTTTTTACCGGGCTTTGTTATCTATACTTAGTGTAATGCATCACATTTTTGACTGACCAATCAAGAGAAAATTCTTAGACTTTTGTCTGAACGGTGTACTTTGTATTAGACAGTTTTGTGGATTTAAAAAAAATAATTTGTTCATTCAAATATGCACAGGTTATCCAAAATTTGAGCCTCATGATCATGACAATATTTTACAAGGTTATAATAGTTCTATGAAGGAAAACATCTGTATAATACAAAAAATGTTTGTTTTTTCAAATAGTTTTTTTTTATTATTTTTATTCTCTACATACATTCCTTTTATTTGGTGTCATTTTATAAAAGGAAAATCGAGAGACAATGTATTGATTGTATAAAATACGTTTTCCTCGAATCACTCGAAAAATATTTATGAGCTGGGAAAAAAGAGAGATAAACAAACATGGAAGATGTGTATATGTCTCTTTAAACGAGAAAAATATTCAACTTTGCGCCTCAAATCTATAGGGATTCTAGCTGTATATCGATCAGTCTCAAATTTCGAATCTACATTTCTTTTACGAGTTTATATGATGGTGGATTTTCAAATATTTTACGTTCTGTGAATAAAAGGTACAAATTTGTTAATTTTGTACATTTTGTGTTAAATAAATCATTTTTTTTATGTGCGATTAGTTAAATTCAAGCAACCAGAACACTGAGAAAAAATACTTTCCATTTATGAGACAACACATCATTTGAGTGTGTATAAACGCGCATGGAACATTCGAGTGGGACAAAATTATCGTCCGGAGGTAAAATACCTCCTCAATCGGACCTCCGGGAGGGGGTGCCTACTCGAGCGTATCATCGGAGAAACAAAAAACATCAATGTTATACGTTCGCGGCGTGGAACGTCCGCACTCTACTGGACAAGATTCAAATCGACCAGAGAGAAAAACAGCACTGGTCTCACAGGAACTCCACCGATTAAATATAGATGTTGCCGCTCTAAGCGAAACCCGCTTTGCGGATGAAGGTAGTCTCACTGAAGAGCATTACACCTTCTGTTGGAATGGACTGCGGAAATTACCGGGGAATTTCACTATTGGCTATCGGTGGAAAAATTATTGCAAAAATTATGTCAAACCGCATGCACCCATATATAGAAAAAATCCTTCCAGAATCGCAAACGGGTTTTCGTACCGTTTTCCATCCTTCAACTGCAGAAAAAAGTAAAAGAGCAGCAGTCTAAACTTTATGTTGCATTCATCGATCTAACAAAAGCCTTCGACTCTGTGAACAGAGATGCGCTTTGGGCAATTATGAAACAGTTCCGAGTACTCAACAAATTTCTTACAGTGTGTAAAAGCTTCTATAACAACAACAAGTCAAGAGTGTCACATCATGGATCACTGAGCGATCCATTCCTAACAAATAAAGGAGTTAGGCAGGGATGTGTCTTAGCGCCTCTCCTATTCAACATATTCATGGCAGCGCTCTCCATTATAGTGGACAGCAAACTGCAGGAAAGAGGATTGGGCATTAGATACAGATATGACGGCGGTCTGTTCAACATAAAAAGACTTAGGGCAAAAACACGTATAAGATTCATCACAGAACTTCAATACGCTGACGACTGCGCTCTAGTTGCAAACACGGTACAACAATTACAAGAAATGTTGAACACATATACCTGGGCATACGAGGCTTTGAGATTTAAGCTAAACATCGACAAAACTAAAATCATGTGCACTCCCCCGGAATATAACAACAATGCTATAAAAATCGGAGAAGAACTATTGGAATATGTGGCGGAATTCAATTACCTTGGCAGTTTGATTTCGGAAAAGACCAATATTGACTCTGAAATTCAGCACAGGATTAGTAGCGCCTCAAGAGCATTCTGGAAATTAAAAGACAGGGTTTTCTACAATCATGACTTGAGTACAAAAACAAAACTTGCAGTGTACCGAGCAGTTATAATCCCCACCATGTTATATGGGAGTGAAACCTGGGTGCCGTACCGCCGACACATAAACGCATTAACCAAGTTGCAACAGAGACACCTTAGACAGCTCTTAAGAATCCGATGCTTCCATCATGTCTCAAACGTATCGGTCCTTGAAAAAGCCTAATGACTAGTATCGTTGTGTTGAATCTAAGATGGCTAGTTTGAATTTCTTCTTAGTTCATAAACTACTTAATTTATCACTTTATTGCGAGAAGATATAAAATAGAAAGAAATTACATTATTATATTACATTGAGACAATATGAACAAAAATAATGGACCAGTTCGTTCCAGTTCTTTGTTTCTATTGCTCTAGTCTCGGTAATTTATTATTATACTGGATTTTTTTTTGGCTTCACTAATTGTGTCACGCTGGGTCAGTACCAACAGAGTGCCTATATTTTTATTGTATTGTAGTTAATTAGTGTCCAATTCCAGCCTCAACTAAAACGAGTCTAATTTGAACTAAAATTTTTTTTTAAGAAAATGCGTCTCATACTTCGCTAGGTTATGATAAATTTTCATAAAATAATTATTAATCCTTAGTTCTTGTTATCAAGATATTGTTATAATAAACACCAAAATTTCTTTAACTGAATCCATATTGCTGAAGTTTATTTTAAAAAATTACATTAATTAAATAAAGGCATTCATTATACATATACATAATTTTTCTTTCATTCTGAGGAAACACGTTCTATTTTTTTTCTTCCATTTTCGTTGAAAGGCGCGCACAAAAGACAGTAAAAAATATCCCTAAAAATTAGAAGCATTCTAACATTCTTTTTTCGCTGGTTTTTGATATAATATTCGGCCTCCACGTAAACTTTGGTAATTAAAATTTTCAAAACGATATTAAAAACGGTTCTAAGTGGGGAGAGAAACTTTGAAAGATGTCTGTAATTTTTCTTACGGGTTTTTGTTCTTTTTTGTTTGATTTTTATTGGGAAGAAGATGCCTAAATATATTTTTTTTTCGATGTTTTAGCATTATTAGCTTTTTTGTATTTGGTTAGATTATTCACGATATTAGATATTCACGCACTGTATATTTTGTAACATTGTTACATCTTCCTATATACGAGTATAGGAGGTATTGATTTAAAAATTAATAAAACTTACCACTCCGTTGCTGAATTTTCTCACGACACATGGCAATGTGGCAGTTCCGCCAATTTGAGCCAGCACCACTGTACAATTTTCCGTAATGAAAACTGTAGGTTTTCCAGCATGAGCTGCCGATTTCACTGCGTTTCCGATTCCCAACAGAGCCTCTTTGCTTTTCTTGTGCTGCTCACTATAACTTCGTCTGTGGCGAACGAATAGTGAAAAATCTAGACTATCTGTAACAAAATGAAAAAAATTTAAGTATATTAAAGACTATTAAATTTATTGTTTCTTTTAAAAATTAAATTTAAGTTTACAAATTTTAATATTATACAAGAAAAGCTGATATCGGTGACCAAAAGACATAAATAATAAAATTAGGAATTTTTACAAGCTGTCATGTTGACAACTTTGAAAACAAAGATGACACTAGCAACTTCAAACTCTAGGGCTATAATCTGGAGAAAGAGACCTTTAAAATAAGGTATCATTCGACCCCCCTTCCCGTTACAAAAACTAGGGGTGCCACTCACCCTTACTCGGGGGGTGAAGCTAGAGGCAAGGTAATATGCGTAAAATGTGCCCCTTTTAAAAAATAGATCGACGTGTTCGACCATTTTTGTTTACTAAAATCCCAGTTTGAGAAAATGAAGTTATTCCATACTTTTGTACACACAAAAAAGAGTTAAATAAATAATATCCCTACTCCAAAAGTGATTATGGTTATTTTTTAACATCAGAAGTGGGATCGATTTTCTTTTACTTTAATTTCACTTAATTTTTTCTGGTTGAATTAATTTAAGTGATAACAAAAATGGATTTATAAAAAAATCACATTCTTCCCCTTTCAAATAAACTAGTTCGACCCCGTTCTCAACCCTAATCCTTTCTGTTTGGCTTTTCGGAAAAAGTCTCGCCAATAAACCGCCGCGTCCCAATTTCCGTATAAAAATTCCATATAAATGCGCAAAATGGCGCCATCTACTATACACATACACGCCCGCACGCATTTCGATACCTATATGGAGCGATTGAATTGAAAATCGGGAAAATATCGCTTTGACGAAGCCCGGGAAATTTTCTATATCGCCGAGGTTTTCTTTAACTCGACGAAGATTTTCTTACGAATTCCTTTGGTCAGCGAAATCTAAGACCAAATTGGCATTTGTGTCGTTTTTCGAGAGGTTTTCAGACATCTGAAAACCTTTTGAAGACTTTTCAGGAACCTATTTTATGTTTAACTAGGAAAAAAAATGTATTCTTATATGTTTTTTTTAACTAGCTTCGCGTCCCACTAGTCAACTCGCATACCTAACAATGTTGCCGTTTTTTATCCCTTAATTTCATGATTTTCAATCGTCGGCAAAAATACCGAACGCTTACTTTGCTACTTTTGACAGAGACCCCCTGTATTTAATAAATTACTGAATCGCTTTGAGTTAAATTTGTCAAAAACCTAAACCACTTTATTTCGAATATATATCTATTATATTCATACGAATAAGCATACAAATATACAGAAATGACCACAGATTTGAATAGCATGCATGCAGGCTGGCTATTAACGCTAAATTAGCAACCAATCGACTAAAAACTCCAAAAACCAACGGTACGTTTGAGATATTTGAAATAACAGAGAAATAAACATAATTAAAATAAAATATCCACGCGATTTAGAGTTGATTTTATTTAAACGCAAAAAGTCCAACATTAAAATAGACAGAAATAACATGGGATTAAAACGTTTTAATGCGGTGCATTTATTATTTCCGGTTTGTGGAAACCCGAATCGATTGAAAATTGTGGAAATTCAATGAAATAACCCACCAAAATATATTATTAGATAATTTAAAATGTTTTTAAAACGATTAAATAAATAGAACATTTTGGAAAAAGGATAGTCATGCGAGTTTAATGAAAAGTAATGGTTGCAAAATAAAAAAATATATTTTTAATTAAATAAAATGTCCAGTGTGGGTCAAATTCGACGCTTTTAAATGGAAACACCCTGTTCTATAGGAGGTAGACGAAAACTAATATCGGCGTCTGGAGCTCAATTTTTATCAAAAACATGATGGTGAAAACCGCACATTAATATCTGCTACCGTTTCGGAGTTACGGGGTGTTTTTCAAAAATGTGCATTTTTAACAAATCGCTGTAACTTTTTTGCCATGAAAAATTTTGTATTTCTATGAAAACATTTCCAAAGCACCTTTTTACGTAGAATTTAATGGTTTAAGTATATTTTTTTTAAAATTAATAATTTAAGAGTTGTCAACAGAAAAAATGATTTTTTATTTGGGACACCCTCTATATTTTTAATTAACTGAAAAGAATTTAAAATTACCTTTCCAAAAATATAGCGCACTTGATATTTTGTTATAGTCCCCTTGGAAATACAGAATTTTTAAAAGTTCGCCACTTTTAACTAGTAGGCTTTGGACCCCTTATTGATGATATGCCCTTAATGGAACTCGAAAACATATTTTTCCAGCAAGACGCACCGCCTCTGAACGCTGAAGTTATCAGCAAATTTTTGCAGCCAATTTCAAGAATAATTGAATAACCATTCATCTCATCTAACCAAGATTCCAGCCGTTGGCCGTCGAGGTCGCCTGACTTCGTGCCCATGGATCTAATCCTATGGATATATTTGCGGAAGAATAAAGGTTCCTTATTCTTCCGTATAATCTAGACAAGAATTAGAAATACTTAGCAGTTATGAGAGGGTATCTTTCACCCCCACTGAGTTAATGAATTCCGCGAGAAATGTTCAAAAACTCCCCGTCTGTCTATAACAGAAGACGGTTGATATGTTGAACAACTGTAGCAAAATCTCATGTCTTGGTTTGCTATTTATTTTTATTGTTATTAGATATAGTTTAAATGTGTTGATGTTGGGTAAATATATTTTAAATTGTTATAAAATTCTGCATCTCTCATAGCAAATATTATTTTATTTATCTCTTAGAGGAATCGAGCAAAATATCAAGTGTGTTATATTTTTGGAAAGGTAATTTTAAATTCTTTTCAATAAATTAAAAATATACAGAGTGTCCCATATAAAAAATCAAATTTTCTGTTGATAATTCTTAAATTATTAATTTTAAAAAAATTATACTGAAACCATTAAATTCTACGTAAAATGGTGCTTTGGAAAAGTTAATAATATAATAATATAAAAATACAAAATTTTCCATAGCAAAAAAGTTACAGCGATTTGTTAAAAATGCATATTTTTGAAAAACACCCCGTAACTCCGAAACGGTAACAGATATCGATATGCGGTTTTCACGATCATGTTTTTGACAATAATTGAGCTCCAGACACCGATATTAGTTTTCGTCTATCTCCTATAGAAAAGGGTGTTTCCATTTAAAAGCGTCGAATTTGACCCACCCTGTACAGGGTGATAAAATTACTGCTATTAACTAATTAGAAGGCGTAGATCAACAACATAAAATTAAAAAAAAATTATAAATAAATTTTTAATTAACAATTCTGATTCTAAAACATCATTTTGTGGTATTTTTGTCTAAAAAAACGTCTAGAAGCCTTGGGTATTAAAATTAATTTTAATAAATTTAATTTTCATTTTCACACAATGAATATAAGCGTTTAACTCCGGAAAGTGTTGGAGAATAAAAATTTTTAATTAAATTTCATATAGAATAGTATAAAAAAACAACAAAACTGTATTTTTGCTGTCTGTGTCAACAAAATTTATCTAATTAATACTTTTATATTATCTGGTTTATGATATTTCTGCTTCATAAAATTTAAATATAAAAATTTTGTAATGATTCTTTATTTCTTATTAAATTTATTTATTGTTAATAATAGTCTATTTATACATGGACGTTTTATGAATGATAAATGTTTCAAATTTGAACCAATATATATAATAAAAGATTTGTTCATTATTAGATTATTATTTGTTATTATTAGATTTATTTTCTTTACAGGTTTTCGCTGTGGTGAAAATCCCCAGAGTTTTCTTCAGGAAATGAACCCATCACAAAGGTATAGACTATTATTATTTATTATTTTTTGGTCCCTGAATGTTTTTTTTTAAATTCCTATCATTGAGATATGAACCCAAGATTGACACAATTTCATACTAATAATTGTAATATAGAGTAAATTGTGGTGCTCTTGCAAGTGCTGAATTTTTTATAATTTTCTGTGTATATTTAATATTTTTCCAAGTTTTTAAAAATGAGTAAAAGGTATTCTAAAAATTGAAATTTTTTCGACTTTGCTGATTTTATTAAAACTGCTGTAATTTACTAACTAAAAGGTGTAGAATAAGAAAATATGGGCCAATGTAAATTCATAAGATCAGTATGGACATAGGGGACGTTTTAACCTTCATCAAAAATAGCTGACAAACAATGGTCTAAAAAATTAATTTTCTCACAAAGCCAAGGTACCTGAGCTTTCAAATCTATGTATCTATTCTGAATCTACATAAAATTTCATGCAAATACTGCTAATTTCATAATTTTAGGACTATGTTTACTATTTTTCTAAGACCTTACTAAATGAAAGACCTTACTAATTAAAAAAAAACGGTAAAAATAGCCCAAAATTAGTCGACTTTGATAAAAATCAATAAAATCAAATACCTTTTAATAGATCACGTACTATATTATTTGTATATTGATCTGTCGAGTTCATCAAAAATAGCTGACAAACAATGGTCTAAAAAATTAATTTTCTCACAAAGCCAAGGTCCCTGAGCTTTCAAATCTATGTATCTATTCTGAATCTACATAAAATTTCATGCAAATACTGCTAATTTCATAATTTTAGGACTATGTCTACTATTTTTCTAAAACCTTACTAAACGAAAGACCTTACTAAATTAAAAAAATCAGTAAAAATAGCCCAAAATTAGTTGACTTTGATAAAAATCAATAAAATCAAATACCTTTTAATAGATCACGTACGATATTATTTGTATATTGATCTGTCGAGTATAAAAGCACTTAAAAAAAGTGTAAAAACAAAACTCGAACACCCTCTAATGGAAACTACTACCGTGATTGACATCCATTGGCACCTCATAAATATCCAACGTTATTTTTTAATGCCCCTACGAGTTTCAGCAACAAAAATTGAAATTATTATCTCATCTCAACATCAAAAAGCTTTTATTTATACACAATTTTTTTCGATACATATAGTCATGAAAATTGCTTTTCTTAAAACTGCTATTATTTACTAACTAAA